TTCTTTCTTTCTTTCTTTCTTTCTTTCTTTCTTTCTTTCTTTCTTTCCAGGAGGCGTTGTGGATAAAGATCTCCGTCACTACCTCAATCTACGGTTCCAGAAAGGTTCGGTCGATCACGAGCTTCAGCAGATCATACGAGACAACCTCTACCTCCGAACCGTGCCATGTGAGTTCAACCTGCCAACATATACATTGCATGTTTTGGATAGCATGTCAAGTCTACGGATTTTTATGCCTGCCCTGGTGGAACAGGAAGAATTGTGTTTTCGTTCTAGTATGTCATGCCCTTGTTGGAGTCTGATTCTGAGGGGGAGATTGAGCAGCTGACAGGGAGTGGGAGTGTGGCTCCAGTGGCTGTGGAAGAGATGGGGAAGGGCACAGTCCGGCTGGGACAGAGGAAGACCCAGGCCCACCCCCTCTTCATCCTAGGGCACGCAGGGAGGAATGGAGAAGGGAGCAACATGGCTTGCGAGAGAGAAGAAGGCCCTGATCCCTTTCATTAGTTGCAGCTGAGAGAACAGGATATAAGTGGGGCATTTGCACATAGCTCCTTGCTGGAAGCAAAGCATGCATTATATTTGTCAAGGCTTATCTGGGTTTTGGTGTCCTCCCAACTGTGGTTGCTGTGTTATCTTGTGGAAGTCTGCAATTTATCATCCGGGCCTGCCATGTTAATTACTTCAGTGTGGTTTGTGTTGAGGTTTTTTTTAAATTTCTAATTATCTTTACTTTGGGTTCGGACTCCATTTCTGCCCTTCGTAGACTGTTTTTGGAAGAGTTTGTTATCCAGCTGAGGATAATTAGACATTGGGGCCAAGTTGGAGGCATTAAAGGGAATTTATTCTACTTTGGTGACTTTGTTATTTTTGTGTCACGCCCCGGGTCATCACATTGTATGATGGTGTGGCCATCTTGATTCATTCTTACCTTTTGGGCTCAGATGGCGTTGAAAGTTTCATGTCAGGTGTGATAAAGAGTTTAATGAGTTGACTAATTCTGCTGAGAACAAAAAAATATAGAGTGCTACAAGTGACTGTTAATAGTTGGAATAACCATATACTGCATGTAGATTTTTTTTCCAATGGTGATTTAGTGGATCTCCAAATATGTACACCTGTTTGGAAGGTGAAAGAATTGAGGGAACTGAGGCCTGTACATTAAATGTCTGTTAGCAAAAGCATTATTTAAGATTATTCGGTATACTTTTAATACTAAAAACATCAGTGTTGCCTTTGACCTGCACATGTTTGACATATACATTATATTCTAATATCTGGTAAAGAGAATTGCCGTCAGTGAGTTAGACGGTCATATAAATTTATTTAATATATAAAGACCTATAAGGTTACATGTGGAGATATAAAACATGGATTTAATCATAGCCAGAATGGAGGCATCGTTTGTAGTTTCATAAATTGGAAAATTGAAATTAGGGTTTATTTTTCTTGATAAATGTTTTCAAGCCAGCAGTGGAAATTAATTCTTGATTAGGATTGCTAAATTTACATTACAGGGCGATTAAGGAAAGATCATTGTGGTGCTTTTTTCGTGCTGTATAAATATTTGGAAAGCTCAGAACTGAATTTTTAAAAATAATTGTGTAAAAAGACTTAAACTTTAACTTGTTTAAAGAGGAAAGATAATTCATCAGTAAACAAATCTGCAGGGAGTGGGAGTGTGGCTCTGTTGGCTGTGAAGGAAACTGGGGAAGGGGAAAGTCCAGCTGGGCAGAGCAGAAGAGAGGTAGAACAAGGGAGAGGGAACTCAGAGGAGGACCCAGGCCCACCCCCTCTTCGTCCTTGGGCATGCAGGGAGGAACGGAGAAGGGAGCAACGTGGGTTGCGTGGCTTATGGGGGAGGAAAGGGCCCTGATTCCCTTCATTAGCCACACCTGGGAAGAAAGTTTAAAAGAAATGCAGGCTGCATGCAGCAGCTTCTGGGAGCAAACATGACTTTATCTTGTGTTATCTGTGTTCCCAGCGTCTTTCCAACTGTGTGAGTTTTGCCGTACCTTCACATCTGGAATTCTTGCTGCTGCCCTGCCAAACTAATTACCTCATTTTGCCTTGATTGGACTTATAGTTACAGTTTGTGTTGACCATGTTCTGGACTTGATTCTCTCCAGCCAAAGGCTGTTCCTGGGAGAGTTTTACTCCAGCCCAGAAGGTAACCAGGACATTGGGGGCAAAGTTGGAGCTAATAACAGGACTTCTACTGATTATCTGACTGTGTTGCCTTTGTGCCATGTCCCTTTGGGTCATCACACTAACTTTTCTATGTTGCTGAGATCCATCATGCTGCACCTGGGAAAGAATCTTTAGCTGAGTTCTCTAGGTTTTTTTTATTATTTGCCTTTGGTGTTTCCATGCCAAGTCTTTTGCCTTTGATTTTCCTATACCGATGGATGTCTAGAACCATGATCACAGTCATGGGGGTGAAATCAGGGATTAGAATTCTAGCTGCCTTCCGGATGATGTACGAAGTAGGTGTTCTCCATATGCTGTTGACAGCTGTTCTACTCTAAATGTTGTCCCCTTACACAGGGACTATAAAATTTGTCAGTGGGAGTTAACCATTTCCTTTGGGTCACTACCAACGGTTTCTAAGCTGCTAACAATAAACTGCATCCTGTTTGAGGAAGTCATCTTTTCATTCTTGTCTCAGCCACATTTCTTTTTCTTTTCTTTCTTTCTTTTTTGCATTTCTTTTTTTCTTTTTCTATTTCTTTTTTTTTAAATTTAATTATAAGAATACAACACAGTGCAGCCGTTCTGGCATTACAATTGTTGTACACATATATAAATTTTGCTTTACCATTTACAATCCTCTTGTTTGATACTTTGTTTACTGATTATTCTTTTTTTTAAAGGTTTTTATTCGACATTTATGTGATTATATATATATGTGTGTGTGTGTGTGTGTGTGTGTGTGTATATGTATATGTATATGTATATGTATATGTATATGTATATGTATATGTATATGTATATGTAT